TTTTTTTGTTTTTAAGGTTTGGCTGATAGTTTAATTGGCTTTTTTTTTTCTTCAATGAGTGTGTGGGAAGAAGTGAAGGGACTAATGGAAGCTCTGGAAGGCAAACGAGTGGCAGGTGCTTCTGCCAGGGGCAAGGCTTCTGCTTTGATTTTTACCACAAAAGTCCCCAAACCCGAAACCCCTGTGGAAGTGTGGCACTGAGCTGCCCTGACCTCATGAGAGCTACTCCCCATCCTTTCTTTTAATCCCAAATGTATAGGAGGATCTTCTACTTTTTGTAATTCCTGAAGCTGAATATGAGGAAAACATCAAGTTTGTCCCCCATTTGGGGCTGCTGTAGTGCACCTCAAAACAGACAACTTCTATAGAAGGAAAGATGACTGTAAGAAAGACATTTTTCTCCTAGGGAAATGTGGATTGAATTACAGTGTTTGTTTCATGTGGGGGAGGAGAAAGAGATGCTGGGGGCACAGAGCTCTTCACAGCAGAGCACACCAGACAGTACTGGGCTCAATAAAAAGACCTGAAGTTGAGCTAGGGTTTCTGGTTGCCTTAGTAATCTCAAAAATAATTATTACTAATCTATGTGCAAATGTCACTTATTAGAATGGTATTTATCCACCACTTTTATCACAAACCACCACATTCATCCCTGAACATACAAGGCTGAAGCACGGCTTTGCTGACCTTCTGCTAGTTATGCAAAATTTATCCTCTGGGTCTACTTGAAGTTTTTCTGCTTTATGTATTTCTGGTTCTTGTCCTATTCCCAAACTTTATTAGGTTTTTAATAAATAAATATTTATATTATTACATGTATCCATCTCCCTGGCCAGGAATTTGATTTACTCTTCTGCATAACCTATCTAGCACTGATTGATGGAGATGATCCCGGAACTTCAATTTTTCAAACTTCAACATTTTCCAGCCTGTTTTGCAGTTCCCAATGTTCCAGCCAGAGCAGATGCCCATCTCTGCTCTTCTGAGACTGTCCCTCTCGCTGCTGAGAAGATTCCATTTTCTTACTCTCTCAGAAGGATGCAGTGTGTTTTGAGGTGGTAACCGGAGCAGAGATGACTCTTACCCCCCAGCCATCTCTCCGCACAGAGTAAGCAGTGATGATCCAGAGTCAATTGTGCTCCAAGACAGTAGCAATAACTTCAAAAGGCTGTATTTAATTGGGTTGATATTTTTCCCTTACAGGCTCTTATGTGTATGTAGGAATTGCTACTGCCATGCATTTGAACAACCCATTCATGTGTTTACAGTATATTCATCATAATCATGTATTTCTAACCTAATACACAGTGTAAAAATAAAAATACTTAGAAAATAATTATGCCATTTCACTTCATGAAATTTGCTCTTTTAAAATGAGCATTAAATGATTAAATTATACTCTCTAACAACTCTATTCAAAGCCAGAAATACCATGGCTTAGAACAAGGTATTAATTAGAACAGTTCAAAGTTTAAATCATTAGCTTATACTTCTCCTTGAACTATGAAAAGCTCGTGGCAAAGACAAGTTCTTCATTTCTCTGTGCATAGAAACACTTCTAAAAACCAAAAGGTGAAGAAAAATCGCTAAGCTTTGTTTTTTTCAGAACGTTTGTTTTAATATTGGAATGTCCTAGAGCGCTGTAGTTGATTGAAGTTATATGGGGCTTGGCCGGTCTGTGTCCAGTGTGGGATCCTGCTGGAGGGATCCTATGTAAGCCATGAAGCTGTTGTTCTGGTGGCCCCAGTCATAGTAGTCTGCTGAGAAACTGGAAAGGAAAACAGAAGAATCAGTGACTGGCAGGTTGGTTCTGCGGAACCTGGTTAGTGAACGTGGGCAAAATGCAACCACACAGGTGTAGTTCTCATGCTGAAGTGCAATATTAAAATAAAACCCCACCCGTGGGTTCAGGCAGCTATTTATTTTTCTGATCTGTCAATTATTTTGGCCCAAGTGTTCTCCACTCAGAGTTTCCTGATTTGTCTCGTTGACTAAAGGCTCTCCCGTTCCTGCTGCGCTCATCCAGAAGGTGTCTGGGAGCCCCAGGAGCAGTCCTGCTCCTGCACAGGCCTGTCCGGGGCTGAGCTTGGCCTCCTGTGCCCGTGCAGATGGGCTGGGTGCTGGGTCAGCTGCTCTGGCACATGGCCTCTCTCCCACCAGCCCTGTGAGCCAACGCACGTGGCCGGCGTGGTTTCCACTGGGACCTGTGCCCGTCATACTGGTGTGGCTGGTTCCCTCTGCCTCCAGCTGTGGGCTGGGTTCGGTTCAGTTGGTCCCTGGTGCACACCACCTCCAGCCTCCTGCCCGGGCTTAGTGACCGTGTGAAAGCGAAGGCAGGGTAGGATGGCTGGTAACCATAAACAGCCACTCTCCAGCTCTACTGAACCAGGGCTTGGGCTCGGAGACAGTGACTACACAACCCGAGCTCAATGAGTGACAAGAACCTGGGTAGGTTAGCCGTGGGTAGCAAGTTCACCTTCATTTTAAGAAGACTGATGACACTCATCTCCTACTCGCGTGCTGTAGGTACAGGAAGAAGCAGGAGCTCCTTTCAGGGCAGGAGAGTGTCCTGGCAGTGCCTTTCCTTCTCCTCGCTGGGTGCTGTCGTTCATGCTGGGAACTGCTCTCTCCTGGTAGGGAATCCTTACCCATAGCTCACAGTTACACACAGAAAAGAGGCTTTTTGAGCCATTTCTGGGCTGTGTGGGATCTGGATGGTTAGGTGGGTTCCCGTAAGCTTTCAGCAAGTGAGAATGCAAATTCCCCCATCATTTCAGGTAAAGCCCAAGACATTTAGCCACGTTGCAGGGCAACCTACGTTGAGAGGCTTCTCGCTACCACCATCGGTCACAAGCTGCTGCCTGCGCTGTCGAGCTTGTCCCTGCTCTCCCTGAAGGCTGGACACAGCTGTTTCTCTAGGTTGCCACGCTCACACACGAAAACTAGTAACTGACACTTGTTAGGCTACTCTTGGGAGAAACAGAGGGTGAAACATGCACCCCAAAGAGCCGGCCTGAGTTCTTCAGTGGCACTGCTGGTGCAGTTCTTACATCCCGGAATCCATTTCATTCTTGTGTCCTTGGCAGTCTCTGTGGGGCCCGTGGATCCCTACAGTCACTCAGTGCTGCCCTTCTACCTCAGCTTCCCCCTTCGCTTCCCCTCGCCCCCTGGAATTTATGGGACCATCGTAGCTAGACAATTCACGTTGTCTTCTGCAATGTGGGAGAGTTGGTCCTCCTCCAGTTTCTGTTACTGGAAGCAAGCAGTTCTTGTATCTCACCTGCCCTGTGCCCCCTGTGGTGCAATATTCCATGCCAGATCGTCATCACTGTCGTATCTGCGAGGGTTGTCAAAGAAGTAAGATCTGGGACTGAAGCCATGGCTTGGGACCATTCCTGCATTGGCCTGAGGGAAGGGAAACCACAGTCAGGACTTGCAACGGACAGATAAACTGCTTGGTGCCTGACTTCTAAAAGAAGTCACCGCAGACTTACCTCCTGGCTTCCAAAATAAAATAGGCAATGTTACATTTACTGTAGACACTAGACATCTTTCTGCATTTCCTGGTTTCCCCTGCCAGCACAGCAGTAGGCTACTGATCTTAAGGGCTTTTCCTTCCTTCTAGCCAACAGATACGACTCATTTCTGAAACCACCCTCCAGTATCCACTTAACCTGTGGGCTGAATTCCTCTCCATCCCGGACACCTTGTGCTTTTAGCCACTGACTTGCAGTGAGCACGGGGAAGCAGCCGAGGAGCT